GTGTGTGTGTGTGTGTGTGTGTGTGTGTGTGTGTGTGCGCGTGTGTGTGTGTGTGTGTGGGCCATCAGCGGCCAGCGGCGCTGTGGCTGGCGGGGCGGCTTTGCAGCCTCCTGCCGCCCAGCAGTTCACTGGCTACGTCAAGCAGCTTGTCGAGGGGGACGATTGGTCTACCTTTCCTGACAAGCATGCCCTTTCGGCCGCGCAGGCCGCGGACGTTCTTGATGGCATCGCCGAGGCCGCCCCCGAGAAGTTTAAGGTCGCGCCCCTCACGCCCTCACGCCTGCAGGAACATCTAGCTCCTAGCATTTCCTCGCGGATTGCGTCTCGGCGAACGTTGGAGGCCAGACGCGGTCTTGTCTGAGCGCTTGGGGGCGGATGTGCTCCTTGTGCAGGAAGCGTGCATTCTCGGCCGCGCGGTGGAGCCCACTGAAGCCCGACTTCGTTGTATTGGTTGGTCTGCCTCGCTCACGGCTGTGCTGCCTTCCTTGGGGGTCCGATTGGAGGTCTGCTCGCGGTCGTGCCCGAGCGCGTCGGCATGGCGCCCGTGCACGGCCATGGGCCCGTTCTCTCTCCTGCTCGAGCCTCGCTTCATCATGTCGGTGGCATGGTTTGCGGGGGCTTCGTTGTGGTCAACCTGTGCTTCGTGCATTCCGTTGGCTTCAGCGAAGTCAATTGGGCTATCCTCAGCGCCATCGGCCGGCGCCTCAAGCGAGCTGGTCTTCTGTTTGTCATCGGGGGTGACCGGAACAACGTTCATGAGGATTTTGTCAATACGGTTTGGGTCGATGTTCTCGAATCGGTGGTCGTCGCTTCGGACGAGGGCGCGTGCCTGCCCGCCAAGCGCAGGATCGGCATCGGCTTCTTCGATGTTTCTTGTTTGATTGCAGGTGGGGCCAGGGCTGAATTTGTTCGCAGTATGCCCATCTCGCCACATCTTCCTGTCAGGCGCATCATTGAGGCCCCCGCTCCTTTATGTGGCGCCAGCTTTGTCCGGGTATCTAAGCAGTTCCCCTTTGAGCTTCCCACCGGCTGTGTTCGGCCTCCTGTCGAAGGGCATTGGGGCCTTGTTGTTGAGGTTTGTGGGGGTCCTGGCGTGCCTATCCAAGACACATGGGCGGCCTTCATTGTGGCTGCGGAGTCTGAGTGGCCGACGTCTACCAAATCGAGGGCGAGGCCGCTGGGTCTTCGACTGCAGAAGTCGGTCCCCGCAGGTCCTTCGTAAGAAACCGTCGGCCCCCAGTCCACCCAAGTTTCCCAATGTTTCCCCTTTGCCTCTTGGTGACGCAAGGTCGCCGCGCTGTTGCGTGATTTTGCTTGAGACCCCGTGGCGTCTCGAGGTTTTCTTTTAGGTTTTCGCCGGTTGCCTGGCCAGGCGCAGTTCGCTGGCTGGGCAGCCGTCTTGCGGCAGGTCCACCTCCTGCCGCTCTTGTCCGCCTGCGCCCTGGGCGAGTTGGCCGACGCGGAGGCCAGAGGCCGGCTCGCGAGTGCAACGCAGGCCGAGGCAAGGGGCGGGATTGGACAGCTGGGTCGGACCTGGGTCGACATTCGACGGGGTGGGTGTCGGCTCTGTCTCGGCCCACCACCCTCCCCATCGGTTGGCAGCCCTCTATCGTCGATCACCGCGCCCTTCGGCCTTGCGCTTCGATCGAGTCGATCGCGGCCTTGGAGGCTGTGTGGAAGAAATGGTGGTTTGTCGGCAGCGAGCAACCCTCCCTGAGTGCCCCCCCGCTTGGTGCCCCCCCCTCCTTGGCCTGCGGCTGCTGAGCTCACTGCTGTTTTGAAGTCTTTTTCGCGTCGGCACTGGCGCGGGTTTCGATCGAGTCTTGCCCAGATCTCTGTTGCTTTTGCTTCCTGCTGCTTTGGGGGGCGCTGTGTGACGTCGCCGCTCATGCTGAGCACGGGCGCGAGTGGCCGTTGATGTGGAGCCGTATCGTTTTCATCCTTGAGATAGAGGGGGGAAGTTAGGCCTCTAGCGCTCCTGCACATCCTCGCGCGTGTCCAGTTCCGCCTGGGAAGTCCTCTCATTCGGAGTTGGCAGGGGGCCACCTAGCGCGCTCTCTCTCTCTCTCTTTCTCTCTTTTCCTCTCTCTCTCTCTCTCTCTCTCTCTCTCTCTCTCTCTCTCTCTCTCTCTTTATACATATATATATAATTCTCTCTCTCTCTCTTTTTTTCTTTTCCTCTTCCTCTTCCTCATCCTCTCTCTCTCTCTCTCTCTCTCTCCTGGTCCGCCCGCGGGGAATCCTCTGAGAAGCGCGCGTGGGTGCGAGCTGCGTGGTCCGAGCGTCCCACGTTTGAGGGGCGCGCGTGCGCCGCGCTCCTCTGAGATCTCAAGAACGCGTCCGAGCTGGTGAAACATCGCCATCTAGCCGATGCTGCTCGGCCAATTTCCTTTTGTGGCAGCTTTTCCTGCTTGTTCAGATCTACGGGGCGCCCAGGATCCTCGATGTTGCGGGCGACGTTTCCAACGTTCTGCGCGTGGAGCAAACTGTGGTCCCTGGT